GAAGAGAGAGCAGGGTAAGAGTGAGGGGGTGAGTTCAGGGATACAAGGAGGGGGTCAGAAAGGACAGAGTTAGGGTGGAGAGTCAGGATAAGATCAGGTGAGAGTCGGGAGGGTGAGGATAAGAACAGAGAGTAAATGGGTTGTAGGTGATGAAAGTACATAGGTATGAGGAGAATAGGTAGTGGATTACAGAGAAGAAAAATAAAAATGGTGAGTAATGAGGAGCAAGTAGAGAGTAGCAATGATGAGTAAGGAGGATTCAGTTAGAAATTGAGGTAGCCACGAAGAGGGGGAGCAGGGGCAGAGCCCAGCTTCCCACACTCTGGCAGGACGTCAGGAAAACCCGCCTGGACTGCGGGCAAGGCAACCTCCTCCCTTTTGGAGTCATCTGAAGGTCACAGCCCTATCCTGGGTTTGGAGGTCATCAGAAGACCCCCCCCTGTCCCAATTCTGAAGCCACCAGATGAACCCGGCCTCCCATACAGGCACCAAGAGATCACTATATGTTTAGGGCTTTGTGACACTTAATACAGGAATTTTACAAAGATATACGAAACTCCTGCTACACAACTTACTCCCTCAATATACCAAACTACCCTGCCATACGAAACACCCCAGCTTATCCTTCTACCTCATTATAACTTTCACCAAACACATGACTGACTGTACATGAGAAACACCCAAACGTTCAGTACAAATCACAAATTAATACCTATCACAAATAACATGGAAACAAAATGTAACCTTCTTTCCCAGGTACAATCACACTACCTGAGAGCTTTACGTATCCTTAATCAGTGTGTGTGGGGGGTGGAGTGTTAGAGATAGTAGAAAGTAGTAGTTGGAATAGTTCAAATTAAGAATAGTGTGATAGTCGCACCAGTAATAGCTATAGTAGGACCCTAAATAGTAGAAGTATCAGTACCTACCAGCCCTACAATTTCTAAGCTCTTGGTAAACACTGGTTTGAAAAAGAGTAGTGGATGAATGGAACAAGTTACCAAATATCATCATAACTCGAATACCTGAATTGCTCAAACATAGGCTGACGCTCATATGAGCAATAGGGTTGGGTGTAAACGGACTGCCCAGTATGGAGCCAATAGGCCCACTGCAGTTTCCTCCATTCTTAAGCATGTTCTCCCAAGCCCTCCACAGGTTAAATTCCTCCCTCCTTCCGTCAATCCTCCCCCAGGTCACAGACAACCACTGCCCCCCCTCAGTGGTATAGGTCACACTGCAGAAAGCATATCTGGGTCTCCGGAAATACCAGAAATGACTAGGGTAAGGAGGTGACCGTGGGGGTCCTTGAGGGCGCGAGGGTGAACAGATCAATTGTTCATTCATTAGAAATATTAAATAATCCTCACTAATGAATGGAATACATGTATACCTTAGTGAATATATTTCTTATACAAATATGTAGTTTGGTTAATATGTGTTTTGTTATATACATGTGTGTATATGTGTGTGTGTGTGTGTGAGTATGTGTGTCTGAAGTAACATGTGCCTTAAAGGGTAATGGGCCGTCATCCGTGGTTGTCTACCCGTGTGAGTGTCTTGAAGTGTCCGTGTGTGCGTCCGTTTGAGTGTCCGTGTGAGCGTCCGACTGAGTGTCCGTGCGTCTATGAAGGTCTTATATAAATATCTGTTTGTGTTTGTTGTGTGGCTGTATCCATGTCCTTTCAACACTACAGTAAAACACGACCCAGTTTGTTTGTGGATGTTTTTGATTGTGTTTGTTTCTGTTTACCGGCGATCGTCATGTTTGGTCCGTGTTTGTTTGTCTGTTTGTATTTCTATATCTACGCTCCTCCTTTGTCTACATCAAACAACCTCAAGAAACTCCTCCTTGGTTGGTTGATTGAAAAATGCGTCGCAGAAGAAGCCTCATAACTAAACAGATAATTGCTATAATGACCCAGGCTAACCAATCATCTCCTGGCTGTCGAGCGTCAGATGCTTGTGATTACCGCCCAAGCCCGATGACGTCAAGTCCAGCCTCTGAGAACCTCATGATTGGTCACAATTTCAAGACTTGGGTGAAATCCACCATCACGGAGGGAGTCAGGTGCGTGTGAATATTTCCGAGTGCTGTGACGTCAAGGGATCCACAGCTGAGGGAGGTTTATTAGTCAGATTTTCCAAACAAAAAAGAGCTACTCATGTTTTGGTGTAAGAATGGCTTAAAACTTCCCACAGATAGAGCCAGTCTGTGTGAACATATTTCTGTCAGGTGTTGATGAGCTGAGAAACAAAAATATCTCTCGAACGTAAACAACTTCCATCAGTCAGGTCAAGATATAAAACCTCAAAAAATAAACAACCATTATGTAAAAAAGAAGAAATATATATATAAATAATTACATAAGAATTAACATTATTTAACCGTTTTGTTGACAGGTTAAAAAAGGTGTGATGTAGATTTGATCATAAACTTTCTGTTGGTTAATGTTAACTCGTGTTGTAGCCGGTAAAACTTAACCTCGAATCGGACTCAGTTTATTAATACCGGAACTGTGGGTATGTAGGAAGTTAGGTTAGGTTAGTTAGGTTAGGTTAGGTTAGGTTAGGTTAGATTTGCCTTTGTTATGATGGTCAACGACGTCTAAAGTGAAACACGGCAAATACCGACCATAAATCTAATATCTTAAGTTAGATTAGTTTAGGTGGTAAGTTTTAGGTATCCTCAAGTGATAAATGTTTCCTATCGTGGCGTTATCCTCCCTCATTTAAATGGTTAAAGATATTATTAGGTTAGTATAGTGTTGTTTGTATGACCGTCTGGTGAATAGACGTCTTTTAGCTACATTATAGAACAGTAAGTGAATTGACGCATTATCATCCTGTCTACCACATTGTCCTGTCTACCACATTGTCCTGTCTACCACATTGCCCTGTCTACCACATTGTCCTGTCTACCACATTATCCTGTCTACCACATTGTCCTCTACCACATTGTCCTGTCTCCCACATTGTCCTGTCTACCACATTATCCTGTTTACCACATTGCCCTGTCTACCACATTGTCCTGTCTACCACATTGTCCTGTCTACCACATTGCCCTGTCTACCACATTGCCCTGTCTACCACACGTCTCTGTCTACCATTGTCCTGTCTACCACATTGCCCTGTCTACCACATTATCCTGTCACCACATTGTCCTGTCTACCACATTGTCCTGTCTACCACATTGTCCTGTCTACCACACTGTCCTGTCTACCAACCTCCCTGTCTACCACATTGCCCTGTCTACCACTGTCCTGTCTACCACATTATCCTGTCTACCACATTGTCCTGTCTACCACACTGTCCTGCCCACCACACTGTCCTGTCTACCACATTGTCCTGTCCACCACATTGCCCTGTCTACCACATTGTCCTGTCCACCACATTGTCCTGTCCACCACATTGTCCTGTCTACCACATTGCCCTGTCTAACACATTGTCCTGTCTACCACATTATCCTGTCTACCACATTGTCCTGTCTACCACATTGTCCTGTCTACCACATTGTCCTGTCCCTACCACATTGCCCTGTCTACCACATTGTCCTGTCTACTACATTATCCTGTCTACCAACACTGTCTACCACCATTGTCCTGTCTACCACATTATCCCGTCCACAACACGTAATAGAATGTTGTGGACGGTGGGGTGTTGTAAACAAAGTGTGTTGAGAATGACGGATCCTAATTGGTGTGAGGTGTGGTAACAAGGGGTTGAGATTACAGCAAATTACAGAATATAAGGGTAAAAATACAGTATGGTACAGAAATATGAAGGTTTGAGAATACAGTATGGTACAGATATATGAAGGTTTGAGAATACAGTATGGTACAGAAATATGAAGGTTTGAGAATACAGTATGGTACAGAAATATGAAGGTTTGAGAATACAGTATGGTACAGAAATATGAAGGTTTGAGAATACAGTATGGTACAGAAATATGAAGGTTTGAGAATACAGTATGGTACAGAAATATGAAGGTTTGAAAATACAGTATGGTGCAGAAATATGAAGGTTTGAGAATACAGTATGGTACAGAAATATGAAGGTTTGAAAATACAGTATGGTGCAGAAATATGAAGGTTTGAAAATACAGTATGGTACAGAAATATGAAGGTTTGAGAATACAGTATGGTACAGAAATATGAGGACATTACAAAAAAATACAATAATTATGAGATTACATGAATATAAGTTGTTAAGAATAGAATTAGAAGGAATCAATTGTCAATATAAGGTTTTCCCCGAGATGGGGGGGGTGATTGGGGTATCAGGAGGAGGGAGGGTATAGGAGGGGAGGAGGATTGGGAGGTGGAGGATATCAGGAGTCTCTCTGGGAAGTACCATAAAAACGGACTGTGTTGTGGCATTAAATTAAGGTAAGGTGTGTGTGTGTGTTGGTTACAGTGTGTTTACCTGTAGTGTTACGTCATTGTTACCTGTATGTACTGTATGTATATATAAGGTATATTATGTATTATACAGTGTGACGTGGAAAGTACATGTCGTATTGGGGGTATCTTGCAGTGTATGGACCCACATATCACGATGGACAGGTTAGGTTGGGGTAGAGGTTAGATTTTGGTTAGAAGTTAGGGTTAGGTTGGGTTGGGTTGGGTTAATTTAACAGTGACGGAAATAAGTCATACAAATTTATATAAACTATTACATCACGACTAACAAACAACACAACGTCACCACCATGGGCGTCACACCATAACATAGTGGGGGGGTGAAGAAGGGTCGTGGATCTAGCAGAAAGTTATGTGCACCTGTTCCCCCCCAAGACCACAAACAACGTATCAGGGTTGACTCAGTGCCGTGTTTGGTATGGTCGGCCAAGACTGCCCCTGGGCTGGGCACGTGTGTTCTTAGAGTAAACAATCATTTGCCTCACAGTTTGACCTTCAGTTTGTTATGAAAGATCTGGCATTACTTTACTTTATCCTCTTCGCCACATATCGGGGTTAAAGAGGTCGGTCAGTTGTCTGTCACACGCTGTTGGTAGGTACTGGTGTAGTCTGGACTGTCGGCAGGTACTGTAGTCTGGACTGTCGGCAGGTACTGGTGTAGTCTGGACTGTTGCAGCTACTGGTAGTCTGGACCGTCGGCAGGTACTCGGTGTAGTCTGGACTGTCGGCAGGTACTGGTCTAGTCTGGACTGTTGGTAGGTACTGGTGTAGTCTGACCGCCGCAGTACTGGTGTAGTCTGACTGTTGGTAGGTACTGTGTAGTCTGGACTGTTGGTAGGTACTGGTGTAGTCTGGACTGTCGGTACCTGGTCTAGTCTGGACTGTCGGCAGGTACTGGTGTAGTTGGACTGTTGGTAGGTACTGGTGTAGTCTGACTGTTGGTAGGTACCGGTGTAGTCTGGACTGTTGGCAGGTACTGGTGTAGTCTGGACCGTCGGTGGGTACCGTGGTCTGGACTGTCGGCAGGTACTGTGTAGTTCTGGACTGTTGGCAGGTACTGGTGTAGTCTGGACTGTCGGCAGGTACTGGTGTAGCTCCGACTGTCGGCAGGTACTGGTGGTCTGGACTGTTGGCAGCTACTTGTGTAGTCTGGACTGTCGGCAGGTACTGGTAGTCTGGACTGTTGGCAGCTACTGGTGTAGTCTGGACTGTTGGTAGGTACTGGTGTAGTCTGGACTGTTGGCAGCTACTGGTGAGCCTGACTGTCGGCAGGTACTGGTGTAGTCTGGACTGTTGGCAGGTACTCGGTCTGGCCTGACTGTTGGTAGGTACTGGTGTAGTCTGACTGTCGGCAGGTACTGGCTCCAGTCTGGACGTTGGCAGGTACTGGTTCAGTCTGACTGTTGGTGGTACTGGTCTAGTCTGGACTGTCGGCAGGTACTGGTGTAGTCTGGACCGTCGGCAGGTACTGGTGGTCTGGACTGTTGGCAGGTACTGGTCTAGCCTGGACTGTTGGTAGGTACTGGCGTAGTCTGGACTGTCGGCAGGTACCGGTCTAGTCTGGACTGTTGCAGGCACTGGTCTAGCCCGACTGTTGGTAGGACCTGTGTAGTCTGGACTGTTGGTAGGTACTGGTGTAGTCTGGACTGTTGGTAGGTACTGGTGTAGTCTGGACTGTTGGTAGGTACTGGTCTAGTTCGGACTGTCGGCAGGTACCGGTGTAGTCTGACTGTTGGTAGGTACTGGTCTAGTCTGGACTGCTGCAGTACTGGTCCAGCCTAAACCAGAAACATGTGATTTCAAGCCAAAAACATTAATACTTCTTAAAAATATCTTAAATACTTATCATTTATTTACTCGTCTTCTCACACAATTATCGCTGGAGGCTGTGCCACCCGAGGAAAAATATCAGAAATATTAAACTTTGATATTGGTAAAAACAGATTTTTACATCATGGTACTTGACATTGTTGACAAGAACATCAGCTGAGTGTTTGATGGTTTTGTTTTTTCAGCCAATCACGTTTCAGATTCTATTTGACGTCATGTTGTTTTTTTTCATCCTTTGTTATATGAAAGTTGTTGTTGATTGTAAATAACCAGCGTGTTGTTGTTGTTGTCATGAGGCCAACTGACGTGTGTGGCCCACGTGTGTTTTTGTTGATAATGACGTAAAGATCAATTTATTAACCCACCTGAGTAAAATGTTTATTCAATCGCAGACACAACCCTCAACAACAGTCACAACCCTCAACAACAGTCACAACCCTCAACAACAGTCACAACCCTCAACAACACACACAACCCTCAACAACAGACACAACCCTCAACAACAGTCACAACCTCAACAACAGTCACAACTCAACAACAGACACAACCCTCAACAACAGACACAACCTCAACAACAGACACAACCTCAACAACAGTCACAACCTCAACAACAGTCACAACCTCAACAACAGTCACAACCTCAACAACACACACAACCTCAACAACAGACACAACCCTCAACAACAGACACAACCTCAACAACAGTCACAACCCTCAACAACAGTCACAACCTCAACAACAGTCACAACCCTCAACAACACACACAACCCTTGACCTTCAGTTTGGACGAGATAAACAACTGCTTGCTGACTGTACATTACCCGTGAACAGCAGTAAACGCAAGTATCGCGAGTTGAAAAAGAGTTTGAGAGCCTTTTGGTCAGCATAGCAGGGACAGGCTATAACCCTCCAACAGCAGAGGTCAGCTACAGGGACAGGCTACACCATTACAGCAGGAGGAGGACTTGAGGTACTGACATGACACCTTCTGCGTCACCGTCAGGACACCTTTGTGATGTTCCTGCAGCAAATACTTGATACGAGTTGATTTTAATGTGTGTGTGGTGGGGGGGGTGGTTGTTGTTGTGGTGGGGGTGGTGGTTGTTGTTGTGGTGGGGGTGGTGGTGGTTGTTGTTGTGGTGGTGGGGGTTGTTGTGGTCTGGTGTGTCGTTCCTGTTTTTGGGGAGTATTTTATTTTTACTGATTATTTTGATACATTAGTGATCCAAATGTGTATACCATCATACTGTATACATGGATCCTGTATACACTACGTACCATAACACTATACATTTGCATACTGTATAGCTGTAACCTTTCAGAACCATAGAAACATGTTTAGAAAGAGAGGTTTGTGGTAGGTGGTCACCGTCATGGTCTGGGGTCAGCAGTAACAGGTAATACAAAAGTCAGCAATGATAGGTCATACAGAGGTCAGCAGTGGCAGGTCATACAGAGGTCAGCAGTGGCAGGTCATACAGATGTCAGTAAGTGTTAAGTCACAACAGACCAGCTTGAAAAACAGGGCAGGGGTCAACAAATGGGTCATCTGGTGGTAACAGCTGGCGAATCACGTGTGTTTTCCTCTTCCACGACTGGGTTAATGTCGCCTTAAGGCTAGACTGATTTTTTTTTCTCCTAGGATTATCATGGATGGATGGTGTTGCCAACGTGTTCTTAATATACCGATTTTTTTCCCCCGGGATTTAACAAGATCTTGTGCTTTGAATTTTTTTTTCTTCCCAGGATTACCAAGATCTTGCTCCTTGATGATTTTTTTTCCAGGATTAACACGGGTGGGTGAGTGGGCGGCGGGAGAAGGAAGTTGCGTGTGTGTGTGTGTGTGTGTGTGGTGAGAGCGATGGGGAAGTGGTGAGAGTAGATTGGGAGGTGAAGATGAGGAGAGTGAGGTAGGATGAGGTAAGAGTGAGAGAAAATGAGGACAGTGAAGGAGGAAAAAGTGAGTGTTGGGGGGGACTCTCCACTTCCAACTTCTCAGTGACACACAGACACACACACACACACAGACACACACACACACACACAGACACACTAGTGGCTGGGTGTTACTAGGAATATCACATACAAACATACATAAAAAACAGCAACAGTAACAACAGTAAGAAAGAACAACAGTAAGAGAGAACAACAACAGTGAGGAAAAACAACAGGAACAACAGTAAGAGAGAACAACAACAGTAAGGAAGAACAACAGGAACAACAGTAAGAGAGAACAACAACAGTAAGAGAGAACAATAGGAACAACAGTAAGAGAGAACAACAACAGTAAGGAAGAACAACAGGAACAACAGTAAGAGAGAACAACAACAGTAAGGAAGAACAACAGGAACAAATAGTAAGAGAGAACAACAACAGTAAGGAAGAACAACAGGAACAACAGTAAGAGAGAACAACAGTAAGAAAGAACAACAGGAACAACAGTAAGAGAGAACAACAACAGTAAGGAAGAACAACAGGAACAACAGTAAGAGAGAACAACAACAGTAAGGAAGAACAACAGTAAGAGAGAACAACAACAGTAAGGAAGAACAACAGGAACAACAGTAAGAGAGAACAACAACAGTAAGGAAGAACAACAGGAACAGTAACATCCTCCTCATCACAGCCAGCAACAACAAACAGGAAGAAGAGGAAGAAGACAAGGAAGATGAAGGAGGAGGAGGAGGAGGAGGAGGAGGAGGAGGATATGGAAGACGAAGTAAGAGGAGGGTAAGAGGTGCTGGAGGACGAGGTAGGTGGAGGAGGAGGAGGTAGGAGGGCCGAGTGAAGCTAGTTATATATATTGGGCCGTGATGATGCCCTTGGACGTGTCATGGCCAAGGTCAAGCTTTATATTCGTCCCCGCCAGCTGCTGTGGGGAGAGGCAGGAGGGGGGGGAGGGCGGGGAGAGGGAGGGGTGGGAGAGGTTGGGAGAGAGGGAGGTGAGGAGAGGTTGGGAGGGAGGTGGGAGGAGAGGCTGGGAGAGAGAGAGAGGGCTGGGAGAGAGAGAGGGAGGGAGGTGTAGGAAGGGCAGGGGCAGAGGAGGAGGCAGGAGAGGGAAGGTGGGATAGGGAATGACTTGAGAGGGCAGATGTGTGGGATGGAGGGAGGATGTGGAAGAGACAGTGTGAATAATAATTGAGACAGGAGTAAAGGAGGTAATGGAGAGGGAGGGAGAGGGATGGTGTGGGTGAGAGAGGGAAGGAAGGAAGAAGGGCGGAGGAGGAGGAGGAGGAGGAGGTGGTGGTGTTTAGTGACATGAATTTATAGTGAGGGTTTGGGTCATGATGATGATGCTGTTACAATTCAATGATGATGATGATGATGATGATGATGATGATGATGATGATGACTGGACACGGTGAGGGTCAAGTGTAGCCGCAGAAGATAATGTAATGAACTAAATAAGACAGTTGTTGATAAATATGACCACTTGCAATCATCACACACACACACACACACGCACACGCACACACACACACGCACACATATGTTGCAATCTTATCACAGAGGACCGTTGTGTGTTCTGTCCTAACAAAATTGAATTCCTCTTGCCCGAGTACGATTTCTTAATCCCTTGAGTACAGTGAGTTAACCCTTTCAGTAGAATGGCGTAACTTTGAATACAATGATTAAATCCCCTGAGTACAATGATTTAACCCGTGAGTAAAATGATAATACCCTGAGTACAATGATTTAACCCGTGAGTAAAATGATAATCCCCTGAGTACAATGATTTAACCCGTGAGTAAAATGATAATCCCCTGAGTACAATGTAATTATTTTCTAAGGTTTAAATTATTGTACACAGATTGTTAAGACACTGTACTCAAGGGGTTAAGTCACTGTACTCCAAAAGTTAAGATAAACTATTCATGATACTAATTGACTGTACTCTGGAGGTCGAAAGCCATATTGGAACGATATTAGTACTGATAACAAGAGCTAAATAAACATTGCTTTAATAGTTATTTTCTCACGTAATTATTACTTTTTTTTTCGTCATAAGCATATGTGATTGGTTGGTGTTTCACTGTATGTTCGTCCTGATTGGTTAGTTTTTCACACTCTTCGTCCTGATTGGTTAGTTTTCACTCGTGCAGTCAAACGTGATTCGTCGGTTCTTCCGCACCCTTTAGTCAGATTGGTCGATTTTTTTACGGTACATGAAACCTTATTGGTCAGTTTTTCAAGGTACACGAAGCTTCATTGGCCAGTTTTTTTTTTAGACTTTAATTTTATTTACATCACGAAAATAAAACTAAAAAATGGAAACAAAATCAATAGTCTGTTTAGGCGATGAACGAAAGATAAAGACAAAAACACGAAGATAACTGAGAGTAACGAGAACTGAGACATAGAAGATAACAACATAAAAGAGACAGGTGAGGAGAAACAGGTGAGGAGGGACAGGTGGGGAGAAGCAGGTGGGGAGAAGCAGGTGGGGAGGGACGACGACGCTGGGGAAGACGACACCAGAAACAAGGTCACCCCAGCTGTCAGTGTTGCTTGTTGTGACTTTGTTGGCGAGGCTGAGGCCGTACTGGGGCGTAGGGCGACCTGGGGAAAAGATAGGGAGAAGGGGCTGAAGCTGGGGAGGAATGGGGGAGAAGGGGGTGAGCTGGGGAGAGATTACTGGGGGTGTAGGGCGACCTGAGGATAAACTGGGGAGAAATGGGATCTGGTAGAGAGAGGGAGATAAGGGAGGTGTTAATTGAGGGAGGGATTGATAGGGGGGAGCAAAGTGATGGAGATGAGAAGTAGGGAGATAGGGAGGGAGGAGAAGGGAAAGAAGAACAAAGAAAGAGAGAGAGTAAGGAAGAGGAAGAGCACAGGGAAGAGGG